GAATTCATTGTCCCATCGAATTCAGATTAGTCGGCTTCGCTGGGTAGGACACGTATTGCGCATGTCCAGCCATCGTCTGCCGCACCGCGCCTTATTCGCAGTTGCGACTCCAGGTTGTAAGAAACCGCGTGTAGATCAACAGATGACGTGGAAGAAGAAATGTACAGAGCGATTACGTAGAATCGGTGTCTCCCGTCTTCCGGGTTGGGGTCCGAAAGACTGCAACTGGCTGGTTGGAGACACTGAAGAATATGTTGACTAACCGACAGCAGTGGCGTTCTTGTTATCATTTATTATCAGGGCAGAATGCTTGAAAAAGGTATGCATGAACACTTAGATTGTGTACTCTGTTTGTTGACCATAGAGGTTATTTTTCTTTGCCTCCCTCCAAGTAGGCCCAATCCCTCTCCATCTTATGCTTTATCACTTGATTTGTGTACATTGTGAGCTTGGCAGCGATCAGTGAAGCTCGCTTCAGTGTATCTCGCTTTACGATGATGATGGTGATCACGTGTGATGTTATCCACTTTGGGCCAAGCTAGTTTGAGTATCTGAAGAAGTATTTTTCTTGTGAACATACAGTCCACTCCAGTCTCGACCAAATGTGCAACAATCGAACTACAGACAACCGAGTTTTATCAGCGTCTGAGACATATGGATTGATTTTCATTGATGCGTTTCGATAGCTGCGCTATCATACTACCTACGTAAGTTACAACATAGGTACACTTCAATTGATAGCTGATCACTGAGGGCAGGTCAACATAAACAGCTTGTACTTGTTCTGATATTGGACAACAGCTAATGTCGAGAACAGGCATCAGTATTGAACGTTGTCCTAACTGCAGCATTCATGACTCTAATAACCGTTTCGGCAGCTGGTGCTTTTTATCGGAAGTTTGATGAGCAAAGTCATTTTCTCAGCTCTATCTACAGGCACCTGCTTCGTTCTTTCAGACCAGTTTCGATCAACGAATGTTTCCCATTATAGATTTTCTGATAACATCATTCGCAAAACTACCAATTCTGTTTCGAATGTGTCGTCTGAGCAGATATATCTTGCTCTGAATAGAAAACAGCTCTTGTAGGTCAGGATTCGAAACTATGGAAGTTTGTGCACTGTCCGTTCGATTTGGTTTTCCGATGCACGTTCCGCTGGATGCAGCCATCCAAGGATGACTTCTGCATAGACCAATCTCCCTCTCAACTGCTCCAAAGTGCTCAGTCAATGGACACCATGGTATTCGCGAACGAGCGAGATCAGAACCATTCTCCATGTCAGCTTGATGCAATAATTTAGGAGAGCAATAGCTTACTCAAATCTTCACGGTTCATCGAATATCCGATTCGCACTCCGCATCGTTTGACATATTCGACTGCTTCATCGCTTCACAGTGTCTTGTCCCTCTCACCCGTATGCTTGAACGGGCAAATTCCCTCTGACCCTCTCTGCGATCTGATCCCTTTCCGCGATTTTCGGCACTTAGGCTCCCTCACCCCAACACGAGACTGTCTGATTACCGGCTTGTACTTTTTGTAATGCTCGTGTCGTGACAACACGTCCAGTCCATTCGTGTAGTGATGCCACTCCCGTTGTACAGCCAAAGTTCGCTGGGCCTGCCTAAGACTCGCGACTGTAAACAAGGTGTGGTTTCTCGGTCTGGTTAGCTGGGCAAGCGCCAGGTCTCTTGTTGCCGCTGAAGCATTCGATCGATCGATAAATGAACCAGATCGGTCATGTGATTTTCGGGCCGGCATACGAGGAGGATCAGATCTGAATCCGATACAGCTTGGATGTTGGCAGAGAATCACCACAGGAGATTCAGTTGTCGAGCGAGGTACAATGCGGAAAATTCGGAATGCAAGAAGTTCACGCAATGATGACATTGGGCCAACGCTTGACTCGTATAATATACACGCACTGTTTTTCGAAGCGGGTTCGCCAAACGGATAATCATCATAAAACATTGAACTTCTGCTAAGTACAGACTACAATAATTACTAATGTACGCCCACACAAAACTCTTCTTGGTATTGTCCCAGCTGAGTCTTTTCGCGTTGAGAAACCTTTCTAACGACGTCAGACCAGTGACGTGTTTGGAGATGATTACTCCTGTCGATGACACACCTTTCCCAACAGAATTGTCTGTTGTAGGTGACCGAATAGTTATTCACATGAAAACATTTTTCGTGCTCTTCATTTACCCGAATACATTCTATCGAAATTAAATAGTATTTGTAAAGCCATCACCAAATTTCCCGATAAACAAAAACGGTTCTCCGGGTTCTCTGCTTAACACCTATGCGCATCCAGTATGCTCATACATTTGTAATACATTGTTGTAAATGTCTTCAGTTAGAGTACGAAAGTATGTCTGTTCACTGCACACAAACAGACGAGAAACGTAAAACGGGTTGCGAAAAAAAACAATGGTAGATTAAAATAGTTCTATTCTCACCAACAAAACCTCTTATACTATTTGTCCGGGAACGCGATATCGACAGGCCAATTGACACGCAAGTTTACTTGGAAAACGGTTCGGGTTTCCACCACATCCACCGTATCGGAACCGGATGCATTGTCTACGACGATTGTCCCAACCCCATCGATAATGGATGGCCAAACACGGTCCGGGATCGATTCGAAGATTACACATGTCTGAAGAAAATGGGAGAAATGCGTGTGACCGATTGGTGAGCAAGTGAAGTATCGTTGGTTTATTGTGGATAAGGCTGGTCAGCAACTCGCTCAGTCGATTGAGATAAATCTGTTCTGTTTGTGGTCCCTCATTACTGGATACCATCGATTGACTATTGCGTTGACCGATTAGGAGTAATTGACCTTGATTTGATCTCTTTAAGGCTCAGCAAAATACAATAAACAGACCTGAGAGAAAAGTGCTATCCACGTCAGCCTAGCGCAAAGCCAACTTGTGTTATACTACTTTTATCAGGATTTTGGATAGAAAATCAAGTAACGTTCGAACATACAACTTACCAAATGATTCTGTGCTCTCCATTTGCACGTGAAGGAGAACAATAGTGAATATGATGAATGATCCAACCAGACGCATAGTTCTATTAAACTATAATGCACAATCAGATAGAATTGAACTACAGATTCGAGCACCCCTACTTATTTATACCGAACTCCGTATCACATGTGAAGCGATGCCAGGATTGGGTGACTTCCGTGTGAAACACGTACGTGGCTCGCACGGAATGATTGCAACTGGTATTGGTGACAAACATCCGCAGTGTCGCATTCGCTATCGGTGTTTCGCAAACTGAGCCCCCCTAAACACGTGTTTGGAGCGGCGAACGTGAAACGGAACAAGGAATCGGTTCGGACGTATAAAACCAGGGGCTGTGCAAAAATAGAAATGTGAATGGGAGTCATGAGTATCGTTGTGATTACTGAATTTATAATCACACATCGGAGAAGTAGACCTTTGTTACACGGTGGAATCAAATTATGCAGAGTCAATACGATGTATTGTTTGCGGGAACCCCCTAAGATACCTTTTGATGGACACTGCTCTGAATAACACAACGACCACCAGACTGAGTGGAATTATTATTATTATTATTATTATTAAGCTGGAGAATTATCAACAAATTGCCACTTTGGACGGCCCCAGTCACACTATTGTAGGCAGTGTTTGTTTGTCGTCACCACTGATTTTGATGCGATAAATTTGAATGTCCTCCTTGGTCTATGGATTCCCAATCTGCTAGAAAGATTGTGTATCGATTTCAAACTCGCAATAAAATATATGAACTAGGAAAACACGATGGATGACAAATATGGTTTCTGATCGATTGTCATACAACCGAATCAAGAAAATATTCGCAAATTCGACAAACGTGCAGAGTCATGTAAACGACTGAAACTCAGAGTTGGTATCAAGTATATGTTGAAGAATGAAGCAACTGCGTGGAGTAGATGCTTTTCTTCTCAATAATGGGTTTGGCAGCTGAATCTATTTCAAATGGGGTAATCAAGCAATATCTTGACCTGCCTCGATTTGAAGGAAAGCACTAGCTGTTATCACTAGGTCTTGGGTGTGCTATGTAAACCCATTATTATATCTACCAGAAAACATCAGGGGGCCTGGAATTTATTGAGCAATCAGCACTCGGCATCTACTGTTCATCGTATTTCCGAATGATCAGTAACAAATCCGATTGGTCCAAAATACTGACTCTTTATTGATCATTCAAAAAGTGGTTAAATATATCACGGAGCTTATACATATATAAGTTTCTGTAAATCTGGTTTGATGAAGAATTTAATATCCTGACGGTAATCCAAACAAAGTAACCATTTCATGAACAGTTTCTATGAGAAGGATTCTTCAAAATAGTTGCAGTTATCTTTTCCTCGAACGTTCCAGAATGCACCATTAGTCTCGTTCATGATGAAATACTGAAATACGAGTGCCGTCAGTTAATCCAGGCAGACAGCGTCATCCGATGTTTTCACAGTACAGCAACAGTCTGAGCTCACGGAACTCAGAAGTGCAACCGGATTTTGCATCTGACTTGATTAGAGCTTGTATTTTGTATTGTATTTCACACGCGCCTGACTGCAAACTGTGCGCCAATCAAATCTTCATGAAAAACAGATAAGTCCATGATTTACTCGAGTGCACGATACACATAGGTGGTCCAGGCCTTCAGTTAGCCAAAACATGACCCGCAAGGTAGCCGGGCGGTGCGCGTAAACCGCAATCCATTGGGGCCCATTGTCCAGTCCATCGAATCATGACCTTTAGACGGCGTCAAACATCCAAAGTTCCCAATAAATTTTGATGCCCAATCAAGCCGGTGACTACTGTCACAATCAAGATGGGTGTGGTTCCTACGACTCGTTTTGGTTGGTTTCGAATCAGATTGTGTAATCAAGATCCCTGGGTGAACTGCCATTGGTTCACCGACCCGGGCGTTGACTTTTCATCCCCTCACTTTGATGGGAAAACAACTCCGTCACGAGAATGCAGTGAGTAAGACTTCCTCAACAGAAGCTACTTGAGGCGCTTGGTTGTATGGGAGCATTTCGCGAGGTGCAAGGGGAGGGTGACCAGCCGCAACCCTAGACACCCATTCCCGACCATACTGATGCTTTCGGAGACTGATTTGGGCCTTATCTTTTCGATACAGGGTCTATCATATCAAACTGGATGTCATACATTCCCAATCTCGTAAAATTAACAACACCCGAATATGGTATGATGTAATTCACATGTGGGTGTACACGTAAAAATCCCAATGGTGCGATTTCCGAGAACAGGTTAAATTAGATGTATAGTTTTTTTTTAAAAGACTTCAAACACACCCTGAAGGCATGCGAAATGATCAACATCGTGCATATCACATTTGCTAAACCGCTTCATTTTCCTGATTTGACATCACCAATTATGTGTTCCATTATTCGCCTGTTTAATTCCACGTCAACACGTTTTTGTTTTAATAAGGACAATCAAACGATTCCTGATGATCGTGAACACGTGTTACCTATCAAAACAATGTAAGATGAGAATGTATTGATTGATAAAACAATGGCCCAAATTTTGTCGAGATAGCTCACGGACAAACAACCTGTCAATGTCTGTCATGAAAAACTGCATCACGTGATTGGACCATCATTACACGTATGCGTTACGTAGCCTCTCGTATTGAACACCACACGTTTCTTAAACAATTGAATTTTCGGATACATTTCGTTGTGGTTAGAAATGTGCCATCCACGGTCATGGTGGGACCGGTATTGTTGAGATAAAGAAACAAACAGAACAATGCAAGCACGTTAAAGAATGAGCGGCATCCCTAGGACTTTTCTGCTTTCTCCAGAATATTTGACATGGTATATACTGCGTAACACATTTACATTTTCTTTCGGGTTTTCATTTTTTTTTCACTGAACATCTATTCCACAACCAAGAGTTTTCTAATCAATCTGGTCTCAGTATTAACATATCTAAGTGCGTAGAGTGTATTTTCAGTCTTTCCCGCTCCTCATTTCAAACGGACTCTACTACCCCTAATAGTAAATCTGTACTTGACCACAGTCAAGTACCTGATTGTCACCATTGACAGCGATCTTCAGTGGTCCACAATTACATATCTACAATTGTATGGGAAAACTGAGACGCCTGTGTTTTTAGTTACGCAAGTTCCTAATATTCCAGAACCCCACTATCAGTCCTGTCCTCTTTCGTTCACCAATGCGTTTTACTCATTCTACTCCATTGCTCCCCTGTAGTGCTTTCCGGTCTTTTAAAGCAATACTTCAAAACGTTTCGTCGTAGTTCGATAATCATCAGTTGTGCATCAATAATCCCAATCAATTAATTAATCACAGAACTCATTGATGGTCTTGTGTTAAATTTTCCCCTAAGATTCTAGATGACCCTCTTTATCCACTGCATCCCGATCTATCATCTTGTCCGTCCACATCTGTCCACACGCTCCTCATTTCAGCATCTAACTTCTCGCATTAACATTGATAAAAAATTCCCAGTACCCTACCTTGCCCGACTCCGAACCAAAAAGCAACAGATCGCAAGTGGACGACGTCAAAAGTTTTGTACGTGACACAAATTCCAGTCAATTTCTTTACCATTAGTGCTACATGACACTGGATTTTCAAAGAATAATCTACTGGTGACATTTTTCTCGCCCAAATAGGAACTCCGCCGGCAGTGAAACAGAACACAGATGGAAGCGTTTGGGAATATATTTACTGTAGAAAGATTACGGTCATTTAATAGGGAAGAGCAATAGAAGAGACAAGAAAATGGATATACCTAAGGATTGGATTGGTTGAGTGGAATGTTATCAACCGTATTGATTGGTTAGCGATTCCGATCAGTCACCTGAGTTCATTATGTTTGCTATAGTTGTTTGTCCCTGAACAAATAAGTTTTGAGCGAGCTCGCTGACTCCATGACAACTTGGTCATTTTTTTGAATGGCGATCGGAAAGAAAATTTAAAAAGCCGTTGAAAAAATATTGTTTGACAGAGTTGTATTTACTGGTGATGTTTCCGCAGTTTCATTCACTAGAATCCTCATTCGGATTCCGAGGTTTCTGTTCAGTGCCCCAAAATTCAAATGCATTCGTTATTTATCCGGTGATCTAGTACAAAACCAATTTCATGCGAATTCACAAAGATAACTGTATTGTGAGTAGTTTTCTTTTCAATCAAGTGAAAAATATTTGATTTGAAATTTAAACGCCAATTGATTATGCGAAGCCGGATATAAAAAGCGTGTATTTGCGCGGCGAAACTAAACTTGATCAAGCCACTGTCTCCTAGATCCCAAATTGTAATCTCCTTTAGTACCATCGAATTTTCTCACTAGTTGATGTTCCCTTGCTGTTTTCAATTGCCCACGTAACCATTTTTTGAGTACTTTTTGTATTTCAAATGAGAAAGAAATTAAGCCGATTATATAGTTAAACAAGCTGTTGATGAATTCTCCGTGTACATCATGACGTGTTGCGAACCGATTAGTTACAAGATTGGCTGTCCGTTTGGAATTTGATGCTCCAAATAAATCGAGATTATTCTTTCCAGTAGTTGATTGTTTCTTATCTGATTCTAAAGGGAACAATATGCACGCTACAAAATGCCTAATATCATTCATTATAAGCTTTCATATGCTTAGCGATGGTGACAGCAACCCCAGACAAATCACCGCATCGATACCGAAACAACGGGTTTTGTAGCAAACCGGGTGGAATGTTTCTGACAAGCCTACTAATATATATATATATATATATATACGCGTTAAGGATCTTTCCTTTTTGCCCACTGATATACATGCTCTACAGTGAGCCGAAAAAGCTAGGTTATACCTATTCGTTAGGCAAGGGGCCACAGGGTGCTGCGTATCAGATCGTTATTACGACCATGTTCGCGATCATGCTCACGTGCCCCTGGATTGGAAGAGTACAGCTATGGTTTCACAAATCAATAGGAGGAGTGAATCATGTCCCAGGTTTGAACAACCAAACATCGTGTAGGAAGTTGATCGGCCTGGCTGGGAGAGGTAATCAATGAGCCTTATCGATCATGATGGACGCATTGGTCTGAGCGAGAGCGGAATATCGGCAAGTGTTGAGTCGTTGTTGACCAGTGCGGAGCCAATCATCGGTACCAATAAAATTCGGTGTAGCGAATTCTAACATAAGATTGTTGGTGGAATACGCAAGCTGCTTGGAAAATTCAGACTAAAAATTTTGGTAGCCAAATAATGGAATACGAGGATCCCATGCACCGCGTCATTCCTTGGCCTTTCTCTTCGCCCTATTCACTTCCGGTGCTCGCATACATTCTCTTTCTGTCCCATAGATCCGTAGAGTCAATTGATCAACTACTCACATACGAAAGCACACATTCTCTGTGACTGCAACTCCCTGGCATTCCGTTACACATTCAGAATTGTGAAATAAGAGAAA